ATCATTTATTTTCCATGATTTTTGATGTTCCAAAAGATTGAATTCCGTCCCATAAAACTTGACCAAATTTTTTTTGATTCACATTTTACTTCTCTTCCCCTGCGCTTGTTCTTCGACTTTATAAGTCCTCCATACATGTACTATAACACTTGAGATTAATTTAAACGGAATAATAATACTACTCATACCAACAAGATGCATCTCCTTTTAAGGGAGCTCATCTCCTAAGAACATCAAAGTTAAGCGTGCTTGCACGGGAGCACTGTTCTAAAAATCGCTCTAGGCGTCCGACTAGTCCCCGCCTAGGCGCTAGGCGGTGCTCAAGCGCCCCGATTTTGGTCTAGGCGCTCCGACTAATTGAATCGGCGCCTAGGTGAGTTCGTCGGCCGTCTAGGGCGCCTAGTTGCCCGCCCAGATCGCTTAATGGGCCGCCTAGGCGTCTAGATTCATCGAACAATTTGTTTTTTTTTTTTTGCCTTTTTATTTTAGTCTCCTAAGAAATATGTACCTTTAACTTTGACAATGCATGTGAAGAAAACTACTAGTAAGTAAGTGAGTAGATATAATATACTACGTATTATTAAATGTTATAACTCTATCATTCCTGCATGTTAATGTGTATGTGTGTGTATATATTTTTTATACACACACAAATACAACATTACTAATCATATTTATGCAAAAATATTGATAAAACTACAATTTCGATGTCTCCGATTAATCCCCGCCTAGGCGCCCGCCTAGCCGACTAGGCGCTAGGCACTGGGCTGGCGCCCGACTAGCGCCTAGCGCCTTTTAGAACATTGCACGGGAGTAAGTAGTCTTGGGATGGGTGACCCCCTGAGAAGTTTCTCAGGGCGCGCACGAGTGAGGACAAAATGCGCGGAAAAGGCTAGTGGCGGTTTGTGATGACAGTACTAGAGGTCTGAAAAGGTCTAGAGTAACTACCTCGGGTCCTGCGGGGACGGGGTGTTACAAGTATGTATAAACTGCAAAGTTATCTTCAAACAATTATTTGAATGTTCACCTGATTGAATTTTTATCTGAAATTTAGCATGTATAAACTAGATTTGATCAAGAATATTCTCAAAAAATTATCAAAAAATTCGAAATTACCGAAATGCACTCAACCGGACATGAAAGACTCTCATTAATCTACATGGTAAATAATGATAACCCTTGTTCTCGTGGTTTTCGATACATTACACATGCCACGTTCTTGTTTATTGTTGGCTTGCTTTTCTTTGGCGTTGTATCCGAAAAACGTACGAAGTTATTCTTTTGATCATTCCATGATTCCATCTAGGCTTTTGAGCAACACGCGTACGTCGTGTATATGACTATATGTTAATTAGCTTTTGTGATTCCTTTTTATGCGATATGAAGGGATTTGGTCATTCCGGTAGTACGATAGTACGTAGTATTAATTTCAAAACTTTCTTCCATGAATTAGAATTAAATATTTGAGTGAGATTAGTAGCTAGTTTAGATCAGAGTACTTGTATATACTATGTACTCCGTATAACGTAAACATTTTATTTTATAGCTTATGTCGATTAGAATTTACAAGAAGAAAATTTTAATGAAAGAATATACTATGTACTCCGGAGGTAGTAGTATTTTGAATCTTTGATTTTATAAAAACATGTGACAATGACGTAAAACATACACTCCCCATTAGTCCATCATGGTACTTTTAATTTGTACCATGAATTGAAACATTAATTAATTCAATATAGTTTATGTTCTAATTTGCTTCATTCAATGATCTGATGAGACTCCCAGTAGTTGCGATACATAAATGCATCAATACATGTTATCTTTAATTGCATGGGATCGAACGGTGCCAATTAGAATACGATGGAGTTCTTTTTTGTTTAATGGAAAAACGAAAATCATACCATGCCACCATATAATGCTAAATGCATGTTATGTTTAGTTACAATGGTCCCAATTGAAATACGAGTTCTTTTTTTAATTTAAAGGAAAATAAAAAGGTGCACCATATAATGCTAATTGAAACTCCAATGAGACTATAAGATCAGTTTGCTGCAATGAGCTTCCATATTACGTGGGCAAGTGAAGTCATCCACTCATCCTATAATGACTTCGCATAAGAATGCAAATAAATTAATTAACATATAGGGAGTACTACCTTTGTCTCAAATTAATAATAACACTTTGTTTAATTGTTTGGGATCATAGATTAAGGAAATTGTATAAATATCTAAGTTGTCCTTTACGTTTACTATAGTAGGGTAAAAGTAAGCCAAGTGAAGTTTGAATAAAAAATAAAGCTGTAGATTTAATTAAGTAAAAAAAAAAGAGTAGAGTGATAGAGTATGAATGACATGTGGGATCATTTGCAAAAAAGAATTGTAATCTTTATTTAATTTTGGGATAGCTCGAAAAAGAAATGCATAACTGCTCTATTATTTTTGGATGGAAGTAAGTTTTGTGTTTCTCATCCTATCAAATTAAAATTTAACCAAAATCCAAACATTAATAAAGACCGATAAATATATAATTATATTTCATCTTAATTAATTTTAGGGAAAAGTACGAAAAAGGTACTTGTGGGTGAGCCCGTTTTCAGATAGGGTCATGTGTTTCATTCTTTATCAAAATGGTTCATGTGTTTGAATTCCGTTATCACAAGAGGGTCACACCGTTAAAAACGTCTGAAAAAAACCATTAAAAGTAACTCCGATTTTCAAAAGTGTCTGGAAATTTATAAGAAAAATACGGAAAGGTGCGCCTCGTCAAGATAACCTCCAAACCACCTTCGCCTTTGGATTTTTCAGATCTGTTTGAATTATTTTTTAAAAATGATTTCACTAATATCACTTTCCGGGTGGACTTTCCGGTGACAAGGGTGGCTGAAAAAAGAAAGAAAGATGGCCTAGCGGTCGTCTTATTGAGGCGCACCTTCCAGTATTTTTCTTTTAATTTTATGGGCACTTTTGAAAATCGGAGTTACTTTTAATGGTCTTTTTCAGACGTTTTTAACGGCGTAACCCTCTTGTGATAATGAAATTCAAACACGTGAACCACTTTGATAAAGAATGAAACACATGACCCTATCTGAAAACGAGCTCAACCACAAGTACCTTTTCCGTACTTTTCCATTAATTTTAATACCCAAATGAGCAAATCCCTATTCTAACTTTACATTGAATTGTGTGGTTTTGAAATCACGAATATTTAAAAAATCTGTGGGTATTTTTTATAAAAAAAAAATATAATTACAGTTTTATGATTTTTTTGTACAAAAAGATATTTTTTTACCTCTCGAAAATACATCTGTTTAAAAATTTAAAGAGAGCAATTGGGGGGACCGAACCTGACCCAATTGAAACAAAATACATTAAACAAGTGAAGTTTATTTAAAAGAAAAGACCCAAGTTTATCCATGAGATGCTTTGCAAGAGAGTTATCCATAATAAGAATTAAAGAGGCTAAGAACAAGTGGATCTTTGTTCAAGGAGTAACCTAAGATATTACAAGAACAAGGAGGCTCTGATACCACTTGTTGGTCCCGTTTAAGTAGGGAACAGTCTAGGGGGGGTGAATAGACTGTTCTGGTTTTTAACTTTTTCAAGCTAAGTACCAAGGTTTACAGAATAGCCTGTTCTGTTGAGAACAGACTGGCAGCGGAGGTCTTCTGGTAGGTGTTCTGTCGGGATAGCCTCACAGAGGGGCAAAGGCACTTGGCCTTCAGTTAACTCACAAGAGGTGTTCTGTTGAACACAGATACCACTTCTTTGGAGTTAATCAGTTTGCAAGTAGTAAAAGCAGTAAGTAAATGACACCAGGGATTTTATAGTGGTTCAAGGAACAATGTGTTCCTCTAGTCCACTGTTCCACTAAGCTTGTAAAACAACAGTTACAACGCTTTAGTCCTAGCACTTAAGAAGCTCTCCACGTCTTCTTCAAGTGTAGATGTCTCCTAGGATGCACTTCCTTGCTTCCTCTAAGACTGGCCCTTTCACTGAACTCCTTGAAGTATCACCACTTCACTCCAGTTACTTGGACGCCCTTCTTTGCAGAAGATGTTTTGAAAAACAGAGTTTTTCTCCAACTTGCTTCGTCACAAAAGATTTGTTGATGAAGTGCTTGAAGTGTTGAAGAACTGGAGGAACTTTGCTCTTTGTTGGGGTTGTAGGATATGAGTAAGATGATCTTCCCAACGTAAGCTTTTTCTTGTAGATGATTATGGAGTTTTAATCTCAAGAGAGCTTTTTTGAATATTGAAGAGAGCAAAAGTTATCCGGTTGTTCTTCGTTGTGTATCTTTTATACTAGGGTTGTCTTCCCGTTGGAGGAGGAGACAACTGCATTAAATGCGCGTACTGTGGAGTTGACCGCTTGGACCCGCAAAGTTGGCAGGTTTCTATTTTTGTAATATATCCTCCAGGAATCTCGGTCAATCATTTGCAATTACTCCACAGCGTATCAGACTCATTAAATGAGCATTAAATGCTTTCCTTTCGTGAAATATCTTCTAGCCGTTAGGCAATTTCCTGTTAGTATACCAGCGAGGTAGTTGGCAAACTTTCTAGGTGTTTGATCTTCTGATGCAGAATTCAGAGGGGCAGGTTCCAGAGGATCACGAGCTCTTCTGATCATCAGAACTCCAACAGAATTCCATGAGCAATTCTGTTGGAATAGGCTATCAGAGGGTCCTTGTCCTTGAGTCAATATAAAGGCCAACAGAGGATCTTTTGCACTGATGTTCTGATGAGATTCTACAGAGAGTCAGAGGACCTTCTGTCAGGATAGTGGTTCATCAGAGAGCCAAAATCAGCTTCTGTCTGGAGGTCTTCTGTGAGTCGATTATTCTAAGAATGCTTACACTTAGAAAAATTCTAATACAATAATTCTAATGGGGGTAGTCTAAAGTTCTAGCATCATCAAAATCTAAAAGCATTTATTCCTTACATGAAGTATGAATCATACTTTTTGTCAATCAAAGTATGCAGCTTCCTTTTTAGAACTCACCTTCACCAAAGTTTGAGCAGTTGATGTTCCAGAACTTCTACCAGCCCCTACCTTCTTACATAGACATATTGATACCAGCCCCTTCCCTTGATTGATACCTGTAAGGAAAACATATTGAATTAACATTACAAAAACTTTACTCTTTTGACGGAATGAATAGCTACTTTCATATAAATAGAATATATATTTCAATTTATTGACGGTGCAGAAGAATGAATAGCTTTCATGAACAGCACTGGAATAAACAGGAGGGTTCATGTTATAGGTATGATTAGTAATTTAATACAAGTTCACACTCAGTTCTAATCAGTGCCTAACCTGAAAATCTGAAATATATGTCTAGACCCATAGCATATATGAAGGAATGAAGTACTTAGTATTTTATAATTTCATTTAATAGTAGCTCAGAACTATTGACAAATGATGCGCAAAACTTAGTTCAATGCATTCCTGGAAGTCAAGAACAAATTTTAGTTAATTCTAATGTGCCAGCAAATTATTCCTGGTAGAGATATGCATCAGTGATCGAATAATCAAAAGCAACATAGATATATGTGTCCCTTCAAATATTTACATAATGTTTTCTGTGATGGAAATTCTTATTAGAGAAACAGTTCGGAAAGAAAAACAATTTACTTAATTAGAAAAATAATATTCACTCCCCCTTCTGCCAACAAATCCTCCCAACAACAGCAATTCACCTCAGTTAAGTCAACATCAAATTAGATATTTGTATCAATAAATCACCTCAGTGCAACAAATCACTATGTTCTGGGTAGCTATACTCCACTGGTTTTCCCTTTATTATATATCAAAACAATAGGAACTATAAACACAAATGTAAATGTCAACAGTTTAAGATTCAACAATCAAAGAATTACATAGCTTACAGTCAAACGAAATATAAGAATCATCAACCTATTAACCAAAGGAGCAGGATTGGCATAGTTCTCAAATCGATCCCGGGGTTATTATAGAATCATTATTTTCAATTTTAATTGAAAATAAATAGCAATGATTATGTTATATGCAAATTCAATTAAAAAAAACTAGTCAAGAATGTAAACCAGTAAACTTAAATATCAATGTGGCAGCTAACTTGTTCGAGTATGCAATGCTCATATTTTCTCTAAGAGAAATAAAGCCTGAAAAATATCAGTTCTCATACGGAAATGTTGTAAGGAACACAATAACATCTTTGGTCAAATCATGAAGAGAGGAAGAAGAAAAAAATACCTTCTTTTCTAGTTTAGACATTTCTTCGAACACCTCTTGTGCAGAATTAACATAAGGTTGTTCTTAGCCATCTTGAAACTTGAATTACCCATGGGAGATGTATAAATTATAATACAACCTCCTAAAATACAGATAACAAAACCAGCTTATACTAATAAAGATAAACAAAGGATGAGATTTCGATGTATAACCTTTGAGTTTCTAAAATCAACTCTATCAAACCAATCCACAAATGAACAAAGAGTATAACTTAGAAAGAAACAGATCCAAAATTACTAGAAACCTAAGAAACCGCCACAAAAATTAAGAATCGAAATGAAAAGTTTTAGGGCTAAACCGTCAAGTTCAAACGAGAAATATTAAGGACCTGCTTTTGAGAACTAAATCCGCAAATAAAGCATAAGAAGATGGGAAACTGGAAGATATGAATCATACTCACATGGTTTAAATAATGAATGGGTGGAAGAAGCAGACGATTCTTGAACGGGAGAAAGATCAAGTAGTGGTCCGTGGAAGCTATTCTTAGACTTAGAGAGAGACTCTCTCGTTGAAGGGGCAGTAAATTATGTAGTATATCCCTTTTGGCTTTGTTAGGGTTTTTATTAATTTCTAATTGTAAAGCTTGGGTTTTGGTTTTGGAGTTTTATGGTTTTAACAAAAGTGGCGGAAACTTAAAATTTGGGAAACTAATTTCCCGCTACTTTTACTTTGGATAGGTTTGAAAGTGTTGCATTCAATTCCACCAAATGTAACACTTATTAAACTAATGTAACAATGTTTGAGTAATTATACAAGTGTTACATTAGGACCAGATATTATTGAATAAATGCAATGGTAAACTTAAAATTGTTACAATAAATTGTTTTTTTGTAACACTTTATGTAAGGTGTTAGAGACAGTTTCTTAATTTATTTTTGGAAACATGTTTCTTAATTTATCTTAGGAAACGCATCCTAGTTGCCTTGGGGTTAGGATTTACTTCTCTATAAATACAAGCTCTCCCTTGTAATCATTGGGTGTAGATCCGAAAATAGCAATGATATTCCTGGCTTGGTAGCGTGCCCAGACGTAGTCATTCGTGGCGAACTGGGTTACCAAATTTCGTGTGTTCTTCATTACTGTTTTTCATGTGCGTAAATTAAATTCCTAACAATTGGTATCAGAGCCCTAGGTTCGAAGGGAGATCTCACGATGGCAGACAATACGAAGACACAGGTGATGCAGTTTGACGGAACAGATTATGGATTCTGGAAGTTGCAGATCGAAGATTACCTGTACGGTAGAGATTTGTATCAACCTCTGGATGATAAACCGGAAGACATGAAGGAGAGCGATTAGAAGTTGCTGGACAGAAAAGCGATGAGCGTGGTTCGATTATCGTTGTCCAGAAACATCGTGTAACACCCCGGCCCCACCGGACCCGAGGTAGTTACTCCGGACCAATAGTACTGTCCTCACAAACCACCACGAGCCTTTACCGCGCACTTTGTCCTCACTCATGCGCGCCCTGAGAAACTTCCCAGGGGGTCACCCATCCCAAGACTACTCCCGTGCAAGCACGCTTAACTTGGGAGTTCTTGGGTGATGAGCTCCCTTAAAAGGAGATGCACCTCTGTTGGTATGAGTAGTACTATCAATCCGTTTATATTAAATCTCAAGTGTTACAATCACCCCCACTTAGGATCACAACGTCCTCGTTGCGCCCATAAACCAATCTCAAATCTCAATCAAATCCCAGAATTTCCCCCCGCTAAGTGCCCGCCTGATATCCAACAGGTCATCACACTGTCGCGGGGTTGCTCTGATACCACCTGTAACACCCCGGCCCCACCGGACCCGAGGTAGTTACTCCGGACCAATAGTACTGTCCTCACAAACCACCACGAGCCTTTACCGCGCACTTTGTCCTCACTCATGCGCGCCCTGAGAAACTTCCCAGGGGGTCACCCATCCCAAGACTACTCCCGTGCAAGCACGCTTAACTTGGGAGTTCTTGGGTGATGAGCTCCCTTAAAAGGAGATGCACCTCTGTTGGTATGAGTAGTACTATCAATCCGTTTATATTAAATCTCAAGTGTTACACATCGCCCTACACACCGTCAAAGCAAAAACGACGAAGGAGATGTTGCAGATTTTGTTGGATATGTACGAGAAACCTTCTGCTGTGAACAAAGTTCATTTGATGAGGCGTCTTTTTAACCTGAAGATGTCAGAAGGTACGGGAGTGGTGGATCATCTCAACGAGTTCAATGTGATCACCACACAGTTGAGCGCGGTTGAGATAAAATTTGACGACGAAATTCATGCCCTTATTCTGCTGTCTTCTCTCCCAGAAAGCTGGAATGGAACAGTGACTGCAGTCAGCGCTTCGGCAGCGAAGGAGAAACTGAAATTCGATGAAGTCAGAAATCTGGTGGTCAGCGAAGAAATTCGCAGGAAGGAATCAGGCCTGGCTTCTGGATCGACGTTGAGTACAGAGAATCAGGGCAGAACGAAGTCGAAGTCCAAGTCAAATCAGGATAGATCAAGATCCAAATCCAAGTCAAACAGCAAGGGCAAGAAGGACAGAAGTCAGATCAAGTGCTGGAATTGTGAGGAGTACGGACACTTCAAGAGCCAGTGCAAGGAGCAGATCAAGGATCAGAAAGAGAAAACATCTGCCAATGCAGCAGCAGAATTATCAGGTGATGATCTTCTGATCCTGAGCGTGAGCAGTCCGTTGGAGTCATGGGTTCTAGATTCTGGAGCCTCGTTCTATTCATGTGGTAATTCTGAAGTGATGGAACAATATACTCCTGGCAATTTTGAAGAGGTGTATCTTGTTGATGATGAGCCTCTTAAAACTGTCGGGAAGGGGACAGTCCACGTGAAGACTCCGAACGGATGCATGCTGAAACTGAATGGTGTCTGACACATTCCTGGTTTGAGGAGGAATCTTATTTCAATTGGGCAGCTGGATGAGGAAGGTTATGCAGTTACATTCGGCAGCAGAAATTGGAAGATCACCAAGGGAGCCTTGCTAGTTGCTAAGGGGAAGAAGGAGGGTACGTTGTACATGACAACGAACTTGAAGGACTGCATCGATGTTGCTGCCGCTGCAACAAACGATGTGAATTTGTGGCACTGTCGGCTCGGTCACATGAGCGAGAAGGGGATGAAGGAGCTGTGCTCGAAGGGAAAGCTGTCTGGCCTGAAGACTGTTGAAGTTGGCTTATGCGAGGACTGCATATTCGGGAAACAGAAACATGTTAGTTTCTCGAAGGGGAGAAGAGCTATTAAACCGGGGAGGCTGGAACTAGTTCATACCGACCTTTGGGGACCTGCTGAAGTTACATCCTTGGGAGGATCTGCTTACTACATGACCTTCATTGATGATGCCACAAGAAAGGTATGGGTTTATTTTATCAAAAATAAATCTGATGCCTTTGATGCTTTTAAGAGGTGGAAAGCTCGTGTTGAGACAGAGACAGGTCTGAAGTTGAAGTGTCATCGCTCAGATAATGGAGGTGAGTATGAATTGCATGAGTTCAAGAATTTTTGTGCTGAGAATGGGGTTCGTATGGAGAAGACAACTAAGGGGACTCCGCAGCATAATGGCATTGCTGAACGCATGAACAGAAAACTGAATGAGCGGGCAAGATGCATGAGGTTGAAGAGTGGCTTACCGAAGATGTTTTGGGCGGATGCAGTGAACACCGCGATTTTTCTCATCAACAGAATTCCAACGATCTCATTGGATAATGGCATACCTGAAGAAAGGTGGACGGGTAAGGAGGTTAATCTGTCCTATCTCCGCATATTTGGTTGTGTTGCTTATGTTCATATCAGTTCTGTTGACCGAAGCAAGCTAGACGTTATATCTGTCAAGTGTACATTCGTTGGCTATGGTGGTGATGACTATGGATACAGATTCTGGGATGATCAGAATAGGAAGATTATTCGTAGTCGAGATGTGGTGTTCAACGAGCAGGTTATGTACAAGGACAGAGTGAGTGCATCCGATTCTGAGCAAGAAAGTCCGAAGATCATAGAGTTGGATATCTCTAATTCGGGTGGGAGCAAGCAGGATCAGAATGAAGAGATGAGCAGTGATGAGGATCCATCAACCCCGCCAAGGCAGCGGCCTGCAAGAAACTAGAGAGCACCAAATATGTATTCACCCTCTAATTTCTATTTGTTTCTTACTGATGGTGGTGAACCGGAGTCCTATGCAGAGGCAGTTCGGGTTGATGACAAGGGCAAGTGGAAACTTGCAATGGATGATGAGATGGCATCTCTCACATCCAATGATACTTGGAGGTTAGTTGAGCTACCAAGAGGAAAGAAGGTTTTGCACTCCAAGTGGGTCTACCGCATCAAGAAGGAGGCAGATGGTAGCAAACGCTACAAAGCTAGGCTGGTTGTGAAGGGGTTTGAGCAGCGTTATGGTATTGATTACACCGACATATTCTCTCCAGTTGTGAAACTTACTACTATTCGGTTAGTGTTGGGGTTAGTTGCTGCAGAGAATTTGTTATTACATCAGATGGATGTGAAGACTGCATTCCTTCATGGTGATCTGAATGATGAGATTTACATGGTACAACCAGAGGGCTATGTGGCGGAAGGCAGTGAGAATATTGTATGTAAGCTAGTGAAGAGCTTATATGGGTTGAAGCAAGCACCGAAGCAAGCAGTGGTACAAGAAATTTGATGGTTTCATGCATGAAACCAGTTTCTTGAGATGTCACACCGACAATTGCTGCTACTACAAGAAGACCGAGAACTGTTATCTTATCTTGCTATTATATGTAGATGACATGTTGATTGCAAGAGTTAGTTCAAAGGAGATTGAGAAGCTAAAGAAACAGTTGTCAGAACGTTTTTCCGTGAAGGATCTTGGGGAAGCAAAGCATATTTTGGGCATGCGAATCGAGAGGGATGAGGCAACGGACAGATTGTATCTTTCACAGACAGAATACATTCAGAAGGTCTTGGAAAGATTCAGAATGCAAGATGCAAAGGTAGCAAATGTACCGTTGGGTAGTCACTTTAAGCTTAGCAAGGAAGACTCACCGAAGAACAAGGAGGAGCGTGCTCAAATGCAGAATGTCCCATACGCATCGGCAATTGGAAGCATAATGTACGCGATGATGTGTACAAGGTCAGACATTGCACATGCAGTGGGAGTAGTGAGCAGATTCATGGGAGACCCCGGGAAAGAACACTGAGAAGCTGTTAAGTGGATCATGAGGTATTTGAAAGGTATTGCTTCTAATGCTTTGTGTTTTGATGGGAAGAATGTAGAGCTGCTGGGACATGTTGATGCAGACCTGGCATCGAATGACTCAGATGGATCGAGGAGCACCACCAGGTATGTTTTTACATTTGGTGGAACGACAGTTTCCTGGCTTTCGCAGCTGCAGAAGATTGTTGCATTATCTACCACTGAAGCTGAATATGTGGCCATTACGGAGGCAAGTAAGGAGATGGTGTGGCTTCAGAATTTACTTGG